AAGATCTTAATTTTAAATGTGTTACGGCTACAAAAATTTACATTATTTAATTTTGCTAAACAAAACGTTCACTTATTATATATCATACAATAAAATACTATAATTATACAAAGTATACATAAAGTCGCTCTTGATTTAAAATTAAAAGTTCTTTTATATAAATATTTAAGATGGTTTTTAACGTCTTGCTGTGCCAATATAAATAAAAAATTATTTAGAAAATAATTCTTCAAATTAAATTTTTTTTAAGAATTTACAAAAATCTATGTATATGTTAAAAAGTGATGACTAAATGATTTGAGCATAAACAGTTATGCAAATAAATTATTTCATTTTTATAGTGCATAAAAAAAATAATTTTCTTAAGTAAAAAAAGCTTTTAATTGGATTATTAAAATAATGCTACTCAATAATAGCTGTGTAATAATCATGGTATAGCTATCTTTTGTTAATATTATAGATTTGTTTGTTAAATGTTTTTTTTATAAACATTTATATCTTAAACTTAAAGTTATATTTGTATTACATTGTGCGTAAACAAAATTTATAAATGTAGTTAAGCTTTATTATTTCCTTTTTTTGTTAAATTTACTTATATTTAAAATGAAATTTCGACTTGTATCCACACAGTTAATTATAAATGCAAAGCATTAGATATGCGAAAAAACAAACAAAATTCTTTTTAAGATTTTGTAAAACCTAAAAGTAACATTACGATTTTTTGTGTGGCTATTAAGATATGTAAGCGTTTTGAAGTTTTTTGTTTGTAAAGAAACGAATATTTTTACTTTAAATATATTTAATACTTCTTAGATCATTTAAATACATCTAAAAGAATATTAACAACTATTCTGTAAAATTATGATAAAAAAATATTTATTTACAGTTTCTTCAAAAAATCTTTCAATTTTGTGATATAATAAACATAGTAGTTTAATTTATCTTGAAATTTTTGAATATTGTTTAAAATCAGTGATAAAACTTTTTGAACATTTAAATCAGAAAACTTGGCATTGTCATTTTTTTGTATAACTTGATTCAAAAAAATTTTAATCTCTTTAAAGTCAAATTTTAAAATTATTTCATTCATTATAGTTTCAATTAATGTTAAATTATTAATTACATTACACTTATTGTATTTTCGTAGATTAAAATGGCTTTTAAACCTAACAATAAACTGTGCAACTTCTCTAAGAAATTCAACCAATTCAAATAAAAACTTTTTAGTATTTTCTGACATGCAAAGAGTTACAATGTCATTCATAAGAAGTTCAAAAGTTTCATTTGAAAAATTTCTAAACCATATAGAATAAAATATATTGCTTCTGCGAATGCTACGATATTTAAAATTTTTCTCTAAGTTAAAATGGATAAGATCTGTAGATGATTGTTTTCCTATATTTAAAAAAAACTTATCTTTAAGTGTTTGCAACTTTTTTTTATTTTCAGTTAAAATATTATTAAACTCAACATTTGAACTAGAAGATGAAAAGCTTTCAGAGGAATAATGTTCTACAGCAAAATTTGCACTTTTTTTTTCTTGACTCTTTTGTTGTATATCTACATTTTCACATAATCCTTTATTTTCGTATGCTCTTGAAGTACTTGATATATTTATTCTTAGATCTAATGGTTCATTATGATCATCTAATATTTGTTTTGAACAAAAAATTATTTGAAACAAAAATAACATTTAACGGGTGAAATATTTTTAAAATTTATTTAAATTTACAACCACAATATCATTTTGCATTAAATTAAGATATGAAGAATAAATTCAATATGTTACACCTCATTAAGATCAAAAAAGTTAATTATCACAAAAAATATAAATTAATTTTTTTAGGAATTTATAATGATAAATTAAAAATTCTAACTGAAATATTTTACAGTAAAAAAATTATGACAGAAATGTAAAATTGATAACAAAATAATAACAAATTAATTAAATAGTGTGGTGTTACAGCCACCGAATATATTTGAAGACAAAATTTATTTAATTATTATGTAATAAATTTTGTCACAAATAGTAATCATAACTTTAGTTGGAACGATGTTTGTTTTAGAAATAACTTTGTAAAAATTGAGCATTGAAGAAAAATGCTTTTTAGTAAAAATTATAGTTTACTGATAATATTTTTCTAAAAACTTTTTTCTTTGTTTAATTTAATTATATTAAAAAAAATAATTTTAAGACTGATTATATTGTATATAATAAATAAGGACAGGGGGTTTTAGATTCATTTAGTTTTTCTTGGTTTTGCTGCAAAAGACAGTATACAATACAAAGTCAAAAAAAATTAAAATATTTTTTTTTATTATAATAAACTAAATGTACGATACAATCTGTATAAATGTTACGTTTACGTTCAAAACAAATACAAATAGGCTATTTACAGAAAAAAGTGATTATGTTTTTACTTTACTTAAAATTATTAGCATTCTAAACTGAAGACCATTAAAATTAATTTTTTTAACATTCTTGTCTGTGGTATACAGCTACTTAAGATACTTTAAGTCAAATAATTTATTAGAAAACAATTTTCTTTTTGTAACTTTGATTGGTAGAAATAAAAATAAATATTCATGACAAACAAATTTAAATTAATGACTTGTGGTTAATAATAGTACATTGTTATTATATAAGGTATAAACATTTAAAAAATTTATTAAAATGTTATGTCAAAGAATTAAAATAAAATTATAATTTTGTATTTACTGCCCGTATATTATATGCAAATGTTTGGTTAAATATGTATCTAATGTTAGTGCTTATAAAAATAGTCATAACTCCAAAGTAATTATCTTACAATTTTAATGCTTTTTACTTGCAAATTTAAAAGGCAAATATATAAAAGATGTTACTACAATATGCTAGCAAGTAGGATAAATAATAATAAAAAATATATGTTTTATTATTAAGATGTAAAGTTCGTTTTTTATTTAATTAATGTATTTATATATAAAAGTTTGTAAAAATAAAAATAATTTATTTAGTTAAGTGTTAGTTTATAAGGACTTTAAATAAAGCTAAATAACACTTATTAATTACTAACAGTTACAATAAATTGTAAATAATGCTTCACATTTATCAATCTTTGAAGTATAAAATAAATGAATTGTATGTGATAAAAAATTATAAAAATATAAATATTATGTTATTTAATGAAATAATTTGAATGGATGGTTAGGCTTATACGAAATATTTGAAATATACAATTAATTAAACGCAAAACAATTAAATTTCATAATTTATAGCTAAATAAATCTTTTAAAACTTATATTTTTTACTGTTTTAGTTACTACTAAATATAAATTTTGCATGACAAATTAAGTTCTTTTTATGTGAAGCGTACACTGATTAAAAAACAGGCTGGGGCGAAAGGTAATGCTATCTATTGATTGTGTAAGCATAAACCAGCCTTAATTTTGAAAGGTTTTTTTATTATTAACATACTATCTCTATCTGGAAAGGATTGAATTTTTTTTTTCTTTCTACTTTTGCCCGACAAATATACTAGCATGCATGACTACAAAATTATATGAATATAAATTGTTAAAATATTTAATACTAAATTGAAAAAATAATGCTTGTTTATAAAAATAACTTCATTACAAAATCTTTTGATACTATTTTAAATTTTACAATATAAAATTTTATTAGTTTTTGTTCAAAGTTTGTATTAGCTAACAATAGAATGAAAAACATAAAAGTGTTGGGATCAGCATGTGTCCAATCAAGAAGAAGATCAATTATGTGAAACAACACGACTTTAGTGTAACGGCTTTGATTGGTATTTTAAATATTTTGGCCTTGACATATCAGGACATCTAAGATTATTGGCCGCCAATAAATATAAAAGAATTCTTTAATCGATAAAGATGCTTTAAGTCAACTCTTAAAAACAGTGTTGTTAATCTTCAAGTTGCATAACTGTGTAAAATTTTTGGTTAAATATAAATGCTTCTATTATTATTTATTATTGTTGTATAAATGTCTTTTCATACTTTTATTTTTTTAAGATGAATAATTATTTTAATATTTTTAATTTATTAAACTTTATTTTATTTTTCATTATAAAACTTTCTAAATTAATTTTTTTTAATTTATATCTTTTCATTTTTCTGTTCTGTTGGATCTTCTGACTTTTTACACCATTTGTTATATATTGATATAAATTTTATCCCTCATTATGATAAATAAAGACAGGGGAGCGATTACCAAATTGCGAGTTAACTAATTTTGGCTGTGGTTTAGAGGTCAAAAGCTGTTGAAGGAGGTTAAGAGAACTATATATAAGTTAGAGTTGGAAAGTGTTGATCCTACTGCTTGATAGCATAAAATTTTTGTTGAAGGAAGCGATGACGTGAAAAATTTTATGGTGGGAAAAATTAGCAGTGAGGAAAAGTATTTTGGGATTATCGAAAAGCTGAAAGATGAAGTAGTAAGAGCGGAGAGGCTGGAAAGAGAAGAAGAGTTACGGAGAGAGATGATGAAAGAGGCTGCTAGGAATGTTAGAAAGACAGTAAAAAGAGAATTGAATATGCGAAAGCCGGTTTTAAAGGGACTTATATAGAGGAGGTAAGAAGGTGTAGGGATTGTTTTTGAGGTAAATTTGACCATATGGCTAGGGATTGCTACATTTGAAAAAGAGATAAAAAGGTGAAAAGTAAAAATTTTAGTTTTTGTTGTGTTTAGATGATGTTCAGAGTTCAAATAGTGGCATTTACGAAGAATTTATACGTTCAATGGAGATAAAAAGAGATTTAGACTGAAAAAGTATTTTAGGAAAGAGTAAAAAGAAAGAAAATAAGTTATATAATGGCATCGGCGAACCAAAAAGAATATAGTTAAAAGAAGGGCTAAATTTTGAAGAGAATAAAAGAAATATTTGACCTCTCTAAAAGGGAAGAAATTAGATGTTGTACACTGGAAAATGTAAGAAACCTACAAAAGAGGGACATAAAATAGTGAAGAAAGAGCAAAATATTTTACAAGTGCTGAAGAAAGATACAGAGGAGTATATAAAGGATTTAGAGAATTGAAAGATGGTTAGAAGATCAAAATCGAAATGGAGGAACCCAAGTAGATGTAGAGCGATCCAAAACCGTATGGTGATGTTAGAGTAGTTAGTAACTTTATTAGATTAAATGATCCTGTGGAAAAAGATCCATATGAGCTATCTAACAAGAGGGATATGTGAGGGCAACACAAGGCTCAGAAATATTTACAGTGGTAGACTGCAAGGAAACCTTTTATCATATAGAGATAGAGGAGAAAGATAAGCATAAAACAACCTTTAAATTTAATAAAAATCATACGAATGGGATAGTATGGTTATGGGAGCAAGAATTTACCACAGATGTTACAGAGGACAATGAACAGGATTTTTGAAGATTTACAGGGACGAGGCGTTGAAGTATATATGGATGATATTGTGGTACGTGCAAAGATAAAGAGGAAGCATGATGAATTGGTCGTAGAAGCTTTAGAGAGAATCAAAAGGCATAAAATAAAGATAAATAGTAATAAAATACAGTTTAGTCAGAAGGAAGTAAAGCTTTTAGGGATAATATTGGGTAGCACAAAGATGGCTGCAAATGAAATAAAGATAAACTAAGCATTAGAGTATTTACAGCTGACAAGTTTAACGGAGTTAAAAAGACCCTTTGGAAGGACGGAATTGTTTAGGAACTTTATAAAAGACTATGCTGAATTAACATTAAAGCTGACAGGTAGTTTAAAGAAAAAGGGAAACCAATGAAAGTGAACAGAAGAAACGGACAGAGAATTTAGAGAGATAAAAGAAGTTTTAAAAAAAGTAGGAAAATTAAGGTTACCAGATTACAGCAAAGATTTATTTTAAGGACGGACGCAAGCGATCTTAGACTAGAAGCGGTACTGCTTTAAAAGAACAAAAAGGAAGGATGGGTTGCGGTGCAACGATCTTTGAAAAAATTAACTCCTACCGAAATAAGATATGAAATCTCTAAGAAAGAGATGCTGACAGTATATTGTGGGATAAAGAAGTTTGAATACGAGTTGAGAGGCAGGAAATTTTTAAATCCAACAGATCATAAAGCATTGGTGAAGATACGTAATAAGCTCTATTTTAAAAATAATAGAAAAGATAAAAAAATTTGATTTTACGATTAAATAAATGAAGCCAGAGGAAATAGTGGTAGCGAATGCTTTAAGTTGAATTAATACCGATGCTGATCTTAAACAGATGAAAATGAAGCAAAGAATTTTAAAACAAACGGAAGGAAAATGGAAATCTCATGTAGTTGAGGAAGAGGGAAAGCAGTATTAAACATTTAACGCTACTTCATCTTTCCACCCCCCTTTGAATGACTACCAACAGAATTTTTTAAAGTAAACATGGTTGCGGAGGGGGTGAAAAGATGAACTAAAGGTAAAAAAAGAATTATTTTTTAATCTCTATTATGGAAAATCTAAAAGAGAAAATCATAAATTTTATATTTTACGATGGTATACTATTAGAGAACTCTAAGACTCTAGACTTTTTTAATAATACAATCTTATAAATAATGAAGTAATTCGTTTGAGGTGTGATGGAAGAATGAGGATTATGGTGGCTGCCCACGTATATAGACGGGTATGCTTACAGATGCTCTTCTAAGGCATGCATATCAAAGATAACCCCAAAGAAGGGTCAAAAATGACCTTCTTGAATATATAATTTGTAAGATTTCTTAGGTGAATGTATCGATGGGTATATGATTATGCCCTAGCACAGGCCATTGATTTCTGCGATTGTTAGGAGAACACTTTATTAAGATTTGATTTTAGCAAGTAATATTTCAACAATAATTAGAAAGAGTAAAAATAGGTGGAAAAGGATCGGAGTGCAGTTTAACAAACTGATATCTGTAATGGGGAGTTAGCACCTAACCCATTTAGTACCCTAGACAACAAACCTAACGTACAATGGTTAGTGGGAGATGTAGAAAAAAGAAATTGTAGAAATTTTGTTTTAAGACCTGTTTTCAACAGAAAAGTTCCGACTATGCTAGATATGTTCGGAGAATATGTTGTACCCGGATCTATCATTGTTACCGATGGTTATCTATCTTACCCTGTGGCCGTTGCTGAATTTGGATCTTGCACAAAGTGGTAAACCACTCGGTTGGGTTTGTTAATGCTCAAGAAGCACATACAAACAAAATTGAAAACCAGTGGTCACATTTTAAGCATGCTTATCGAAAACATGGTGGTATAAATAAAGGAAGAATAAGTTTATTTTTAAATGTGTGGCAATGACGGAAGCAAGACGTCCAAAATAGTGATAAAAAGACGCACAGGATTGCATTATATAAACTATTAAAAATGTTTAGATTTTAATTTTTTTGTAGCTAATTATTTTTTTAAAAAATATAATAATTTTTTAAAAAAACAAGTGGGGTGGAAGGATTAAGTAGTGTCAATAAAACTATTAAAGGAAATTTATCCTTTATATCATGTATACACACAAAAAGATGGCTTCCGAAGAACATCCCGGACAATTGTAAATAAAAACCATTATTATAACACTTCTTTTAATTTTAAATCACGCGGAATGTCATGAACAGGCCCATATTTACTTAGATAAATTGAGATCTACATCTCCGCTGGCCGCATTTCTGAGAGTCACTCCAATAAGGATTAATTTTGCAAAAAAATTACAGATTTTGAGATGTCACGAATTTTTACAAATCATTATCTAAATATATTTTTTTATTACAATACAAACATTTAGATTTACTCATATAAACATTTTTGGCACATTTTTCTGAGAAATAGTATTCAATAATAGAGTTAATTATTAGTGATTTATTTCAGTCTCGTAAAGATGTATGGTTTTAATCATATTTATCATACCCCTATAATCTGGCAATGATTCAAATAACAAATTTTTAAGTCATCTCAAAGATTTTATGATTGAATACTTTGACAGTTAAAATTAAATAATGTAATTTATCCCAATTTTGTACAGTGAAAAAAAATATTTGTCGAAGCATTTGATTGTTTGTTTATGAACAAAGGTTGTAAATATGTGAGGCATACAAATATTAAACCTCATCAAAATTTTAAAATTATAGATATCAACAATGATTATATGATATTTATTATAAAATATCCTTTTTTGCTATCATGTTAATTACTTTCGTATAATAATGTTGCTACTACCCTTATCCCCTAAAGGTAATTGTTTATTTAAAAAAGAACTAGATTTCTAATTACATACATTTATTTAATAAAATTTCGTTTTATAGTTTTAGTTTTACACTGAAACCTATTGCGTTTCAAACTTTAGTTTCACATTCTAATGTTTTATTTTCAGGCGAATAATTGGATCATCTAAATTTACGGTTATTGGTGACAAATGTAATTAGTTTCTTAAAATTCGCTTTTGAATTTCAACTGTGTACAAATTAAAAAGATTACTTATCAGATTAAGCCCTCCATGATTCTTGCTTACTAGTCTATAACTTATGCTTACAGGTATTATGGCTGTATTTAAGATTGTAAAACATTTTTTGATAAGTTAATTTTTTTAGAAATTAACACATTATTAAAAAATTGGGAATTGGCATATTATATTGCAAAAAATAAGAATAATCTTAAAAATTTAATTGCTAATTGCTCTTTTTTTCAATACTATTTATAAACTCTACAAGACTTTTACACAAAGAGTTAAATCTTATATTTAAACTAATAAGTAGGGATATAATTTTACAGAAACTACAATCGTCAGAACAAATGTATTTATTACCCCGCATATGTAAACTTTTTAAATTTGATTCAACAATATAAAATTTTTTTGATATATCAATATATTCACCAAATTTATTACATGCTAGATTTAATGAATTTATAAAATCATAAATTGATTTTCCCCGTATAATTATATAAATTGCATTAACAGCATCAAAAAAACTTAAAATACTATTTAGAGCAGAAATTGAATTATGTTTTATGTCATTTGAGAAATTGGATGCTTTCAATTTTTTTATAAATTGTGGTATTTTAATATTTATTGTATTTCTACAAAACCATTTAAATTTAGTCTCAAACTGTTTGTATTTATTAAAAAGTCTACGCTCGTTTGTTGTAAAATCTTTAGAAAGCGATAAGTTTTTGGCTTTAATGTTTCTTTTAAGTTTTAAAACATTTTCAAAATTACTTAATCGAATATCAGATATTCTATAAATTTTTGATTTTTCTCTTTTGACTTTAATATTTTTATTATTTTTGTAAGTATTAATGGAAGATTTACTATTTTCTGATTTTTTAATCGATGAATCAATAACATTAGATGGTGCATCAATTTGTGCATTACTTGGTTTATTAATACAGTTAGTCTTTTCGTGGTAATTTTGATGGTCTGATAAAACAATAACATTATCATTTGTCGGTAAAAAAGTATTATCTTTTGTATTAATATCTTTCCTCTGTAATAAACAATTTTGAGTTGAATGTAATAATAGATTAGTATTGTTTTTGCAAAATTCATTTTTATTAGAATGTTCTGCTTTAGCTTTTTGGCTACCATTGCCATCTTCAAAATTTGTTGTTTCATTAATCGATTGATTTATTGCACAAAATTGTTTGTTAAATTTATTAGTAATAAATTGATTATTTGTGCTACTTTTTGACGTTGAATTACTCTCAGAAATCGTTGACAACACTTTGTCACTTAAATTATAATCAACATTCTTATATCCATTATCAAAACATTCGTCTATAAAATTTGTCAGATCATCTAATATATTAGAATTAGATTGGTTTTCAAAAAAAAGTTCTTCTTCAGCTTTTGTCAGCTCATGATTCTTTTGTTTTATCTCTTCATTCACATATAATCCTTTATTCTCAAGTTCTTTTATGTAACAATCTGATAAATTTTCTAGATCTACAAATAAATCAAAATCTAATATTCCCATTGAACAAAAAATTGTATGCAACCATAATAACATTTAACGGCTTAAAAATTTAAAAAAATAATTTGATTAGAAAAGCAATAATGAAAAGTACACACTATGTTAGTTATTTAATTGTTGGAAGAAATTCTGTTTTATAAGTTGTGATATTAACTACCATATGGATCAATGAATAAAAATGTTTCAATGACATACCAATGAATCTAATTAGACTAGAGTATTGTTTGTATATTACAAAAACTTGTAATAAAAACATATGTAATTTGCTACTGAAACTATGTAAGGAAAATATTTTAATAAAATATGCTTGGTTCATATAATTCTTTTTTTAGCAGTTAAAATGATTTAAAGAACAAGGCCCGCAACTGTAATAGGACTAACAAACACAAACATGCCTCAAGCAAATTAGAGCTTCCCAGCAGGTGTGTCCTATTCAAAGAACTATCTTAGTTCGGGGCGCTTATCTGCCTGTATTACCACATAAGTTTTCTCTTATTAAGGATTACAATTTTGTGGCAGCAGTCTATTGGCTACTATAGACCTATCTAAAACTAAGTTTTAGAACATAATATTTAAGTAAAATCTTAATCATTAAATAGACTATCTTTTAATACCAACAGGTCTCTACTAAAATACCCGGTGAAAAAAAAATTATTACATAACTTAATGATATTAAAAAAAAATTAATTTAATATTAAAAATTGTAGGAATTTACAACAACGAGAAACGTAAACTGAAATACTAGACTGATATACCCAGTCTTGTTTTCGCTCTTATAAGACTCTACAATAGACACATTTTTTAGTAAGAAAATGTTTTATTATAATTTTTAGTTAATTTCTTACATAAGATGCAGATAAACACCCCTGAGATGGAACCTGTTTCTTGTACTAATTGCCATATAAATAATGTTATTTCTCTTTGTTAAATCTTAAATTAAAAGATAAATTTTAATGTATTTAAAAAAAAACTTTAAAAAAAATTATTTTGAAAAAAAGAAAATAAATCCTATTGTTAATTAATAACACAAATTATACTAATAAATGTATAAATAAAGCAGAAAAAAATTATGCACAAATCTATACATTTTGCTTAGAAATTTATTTCAATCAAATTTTCACAAATCAAAATATGCTATTTTTGTGCTTGTAAATATTTATAAATTAATTAATAAAAGATATCAACTTTTTAAAGCTTTCACCCTGTGACTATTTTTTTATATATATTCAAAACTTTTTAGTTGTTAAATATAGTTTTCTTTAATTTTGATTTAGTTTAAAAAAGTAACGTTTTTTGTCTGTCCATTACTTATATTTTTTTACAAACGAAAATATTTATGGTAATTTTATAAAATAACTAAATTCTACTTTTACTGATTTATTTTCTTCTCTTGTGTAAGATAGTTATAAAAACACTATTTCTCATTGCACTCATATAAGATGTGGCAGACAATATTCTTAAATATACAATTTAGAAGAAATTTAGAAAACTTAAAATTTTATTAATTTTAGGGTAAATATTATACAATGCGTGTCAACATCTTAAGACACATAAAAAAAAATCTATTTGTGCAAAAATTAAAACGTGTGTCATATAAATTCGTTTTAAATCTTATTTTATATAAGTCTAATCTGTTTTATGTATTTTATGTATTTTTTGTCTTAAGAGGCGCGTCAAAATCATTAGATATTCTTTCCAAAAACACATTTTATAAAATTGTAAATGATACTTTTGTTTAATTTTGTTAAAATAAAGCATTGTGTAATTTTATTTTTTTAATATAAGCTATTACAAAAGGCTTTAAAAAAATAATATATCCTATAATAAAACGGGATGTCCCTTTAACTCAAATTTTGAAATACAAACACATTCTTAAAAAAATAATATCATTTACTAATGTTTTCCTGAAAAAGAATAGAGATTTAAAATTTCTTCAATGTATCTCAGCGACATGATGGTTTTGATGTTTTTTATAAAAAAATTATTTATTCGTTAATAAGTAAAGAAAATGCTTTAAATTTATATTAAAAAGCACAAATAAATGCTTTTTTTTCAATAAGGAGAAATATTAAGCAAATATGTGTTTTATTGGGATGAACTAGGACCGCGATTAGAAATTGCATGATTTCAAGGAAGGTAATTAAAATTACTTATAAAAAGAGAAGAAAGAGAGCTCTTTCTTTTAGAACAATGAAAAAATTAAAAGTATGGGTTCTAATAAAGTCATCACTATTTCTAAAATTAAAGCTGATTTAGATTTATTAGTGTCAAAGTCTATAGTTTTAAGAGTAATGAAAGAAAATAATAATCTTGTGCATAAAAGCTGTACACGAGTTCAAATTTAAAGGAAGTGCATAAATCAAAAGGGGTTGATTTTGCTTTAGATAAAATTTTATGGACTCGTCAATGGCATAAAGTTATATTTTCTGATGAAAATAATTCTAATTTATGCGTTCAAGATGGTTTTAAGTATTATTGGCACCATGTAAACAAAGATGAAATTTAATATAGTAAATGTATACAGGGCGGAGAAGGCGTTATGCCTTGGACCGGTTTTTGTTCTGGTGAACAATTGATTTTACAAATTGTTAATATTTAATAGAAAAGAACTGCTTATTGTAGGATACTTTAAATTTCTCTATTAACATTTCTTAAGAGTAAAATTAATAATTTTAATTATGTAGATAGCGATTTTAATTATATTTTTTAACAAGATAATGCACCTTGCCATCGAGCTCGTGCAACTAGGATATGATTTGAAAATAATAACATTGATTGCATGGACTGGCCACCATTAAGTCCAAATCTTAATCTTATTGGAAATTTGTGGGCAAATATGTCGAGAATGATTTATAGAGACGGGAAACAATATAATAATATTCAAGATTTACATTCTGCGATATTAGTAGCTTGGCCAAGTATTACACCCGAAAATCTGTTAAAATATGTCAATGGAATGCAGAAACATATGATTGATTTTGTAAAGAAAGAGGTGTAAAATCAATAAATAAGTTTTCTTTTTTTGAATTACTTTTTTTAAAAAAACCTTAAAACCATCATATCCTTGAGAAAGGTTAAAAAAGTATAAAATCACTTCTCTGAATTAAACAATAAATAATATATATTAATATTTTAAACATAAGTTTGAATTTAAAATTTGAGTTTAATGAGCTATCTAGTTTAATTGTAAGACTAATTATTTTTTTAAACATTTTGTAGTAGCTTAGGTTTAAAAGATAAAATCACACAGTACTTTATTGCAACAAAATAAAACTAATGTATTATCTACAATGCTATAAAACGTGTTTTAAGATGGGGTTTTTTAAGATTTTATTGCATCTTTTAAGACAAATAAATACATAACCCAGATTAGAAAAATATAAAATAATTTAATACAAATTGATTTGACACAGTTTAATTACATAGTTTAGACACAAATCAAAATGTTAGAATGATGTCTTGATTTATTTTGCACGAAGAATTTTTTTTTAGTATCTTAAGATGTTAACACACACTGTATAAGTACAATGTAACAGCCGCATGCATTGAAGAAGGTCCTGTGATCAATAAGACTGCTAACTCTATGTCAGATTTGAACTTTGGAGCTACAAGTACGAGTAAAGAAGAAGGAGATTTTAACACATCACATACTGAGACTATGCCAGATTGTAATGTGAATGTTGATGAACATTTTTGTGGTGAATTATCAAGCATCTGTAAGCATTGTTCTGCTCTACACTTCAAAGATGAAGTAAATAGACAAGGTGCATACAAGAATTGCTGTCATTTCGGTAAAGTAA